CATTTAAGCTTAAGTGAAAAGAAATTTGAAGACATAAACCAGTTTGCATCATTTGACATGATCTGCAGTGCCTGATAATGTGCGATTTTATATTATTGTGTATACACATGCGCATTGCAATGCTCAGTATGTTTCCAGTAGTTTGCAGTAGTTTGCTGTTTTAAAACACAACTGTAGAATATCTAGACGCCTGTTCGTTTTTAAGATCTCATTTCCTTATCTTCTACTTTCTAAAATGGTACCAAAAATATGATTTAATAATTTTTTTTTATCATACTTTGATGCTCACAATTTGCTTTCCAGGAATATTGCCATTACCAACGTTACCAGTGATTTTAATTTGTGTTTTAATAACTAGTGAACCTGAGGGTTTGGCTCTTCGTTTCTTGTGGGAAAAATGCATGTTCATGTCCTTTGCATTTTTTGACAGCTGAAGCATGGGTAATGCATTATTAATATATTTATAAAAGTTCTTGCATATTTTGATAACAAACCTTTATTTTGTGTTTATAATGTCCATTGTTCCCCGATTATGTTGGCTTTTTCTACTTTTCAGTTTGTTACACAGACATTTCTAACTTGGTGAGTCTGAATCTATCAGCCTGGAGATCTTACTGAAACACTGTCTACTTCTCTGCATTTTCTTTAAATTGTTTTTTAAACATTTACATCCTTGAGTCACATAAAATTTATTGTGGTGTACTTGAGAGGTATGAATGTAGGAGAATTTTTCTCTGTATTACTATCTTACCCCTAAAACGTTTAATAAATACTTGCAAACAGGTATTAAATTGTTGCTACTATTTATTAAATATTTCACATTTAAATAATGTGACGCTATATGGAATTACATTTTATACTACTTAGATAATAACAATAATGAAGATATTATATATTAAAACTTATGGGATGTTGCCAAATTGTAGCCTTAATGCTTGAATTATTTAATGAAACAATGAAAAGAAATTAAATATTGGGTTGTTGGAAAAGTCGTGACTTTTTTTTCTATGTATTTCCTTGCAAAAATGTGTCATGACTTTTCCGAGAACCCAGTAGTTGACTCAATCTATAAAATAATAAAATAAA